GCGTTAATATTATATTCACCCACTCACACCCATACCCACACCCTTTTATCACTGCCATCAAAGTTTTATTTTTAAAATTTTTCATAATTATAGATTTTAACTTAGCTTGAAATTCTCTACCAATCTATATATGTATTTGACTTGCCTAGTATTTATGTATTGAACTTACTGAAGAGTAATTTGATTATTATTTTGATAAATTCTTCAAAAATTTGAAGGTGGCATACGAATGTACAAGAGACATGCTTATCTTTAAATTTCTCTTAGCCTCACTCTCAAATCGAATTATAGCTGCAGAATCAACTAAACCATCTAATTCACAGCATGATATTGATTCTATTTGAATATATAAGCCAGAATATTCGAGAGTATTATCGAACAGATGGCTTTATTCCCTCACTCAAATATCATCCTAATAAATAGTTTTTCTTACTTTTATACATTCTATTGAAATACGAATAATGTTTGTTTCTATTCTAACCATTATTACAATTATCATAGGTAAGAGTATTTAATTATGATCATTGACTAAATATTAAAATAAGATATTCTCTACTCATTTCATAGGATTCATACATGGATCAGTTGGTGGTAAGCACTTAATAAAAATGTCCTTTCGTTTTTTTATGATCAATCTTCTATTACTTTTTGTTTTAGATACACTTTCATCGAATTACTATAGAATTTACTGTACCGATGAATCATACATGATAGCAGGAAACTTTACTAGTGTCGGCTTCGATACAAGATACACTCCTGAGTTATACATTATCCCGAACAATATGCTTTATGAAGCACGATTGTTTCGTTTTATACCAGTACTGGAGATGACACCCGACATTTATCGTATAACATCTAAATATCTTGGCCCAACAAGATCACTTCTTTTTGATAGAAGTCAAAATTATCTTGGATTTAATCAGACTAATCATACAGCAACTAATCAACATTGGTTTGTTCGATTGAGAGATACTGGGGATTACTCCATAAGACCAGTTGATGCACCTCAATTCCTTCTGACGTCAAATCGTGGTACTTACAAAGTTACAGTCGAATTGAACGAATATTTCTGTGCATGGTGTCTCATTGAAGATGGAGATTTTATTGGACCAATTGCACCTGCATCATAAGAGTTTTAAAAATAAATCTAACTTGCAAAAAAAACAAGTGTTCATTCCATTCTTGATAAAAATAAAATTAAAGATTTTCATGAAGCATCTGTATAGATTGATACGACTCCGTATTTTTCACTCAGTTAATTTCAGGTGAGAAGGAAGTATAGTAAATATAATCATATATTAGAAAAGAAAGAATCAATCAGCGTAGAAAGTTTATGCGCATTTTTTTACGTTTATTATCAAAATCATCCATTCAATATGTAGATATATGATTAATTATAAGCAAGGTGAGATAGAGTTTTTTTCGACCGCTTTCTAATAAATCATCAATGAAAGTTCATATTTACATCATTCATAGCTTAGCTTATTCTGAAAATTTCAGTCTGATGTAATAAGAAGGATGTGGGTGTGGGTGTTACTATTATCATTCACACTCACACTCACACCATTCTGCATTGAATGGTGACTGAAGAAACGTGTTCCCCATAGTCGATTTGTTATGTACAAGTGGCTTTTATGAAAAAATAAGAGGATCGAAAAATGGCCTTATCGCCACTTGTCCTTTGTAAATTTTGCTCAAAACAAGCCGGTCCTGAAAGGGTTAATATTTTGTTTGTTTTTGTATCTTTTTTTTCTATCTTCTTTCTAGTCTTATGCTTTGAAGAGTATTAAAATGGTAATGGACAAGGATTGAAATAAATAGAAATTTCTTTTTCTCAAAAGAATATTTCAGTTTTAATTTAGCCACCGCCACCGCACAAAAACTTATAAATATCAGCCGGTGCTGCCGTCATTCAATCTTTCAGCTTACACCCCTACTCAGAATGATAGTATATTATTGAATGATATATAGGATAAATACATTCATATTCTCAATTATCTTTTTATTTGTCAAAAGATATTTGATCGAAAACACCACAAAATTAATATTGATACGTTTGGAAACTAGTAAAAATATCCTGAATAAAATCCAACAATGCATTCCTTTGTAATGATAATCGTTCTATCTACCCAAGCAAACAAAAGAAAGCATACGATGGGCGCGACGGACGGTCGAAAATTTGATATATATATTTTTTGTTCGTTCTGTTTCAATTTCGATCCCCTCAGCACCCATCGAATTTCGAGGACTCGGACACTGCGTCCTATCGACGACTTATTTTCGATTCGTCGAATATATTTCGACACCTCGGTACTCATCGAAGTTTCGAGTACTCCGAGAGAAGTAACCTATCGAAATAATACTATCGACTCCTCTAACATATTGAAAGAATCATTTTGAGTGCTTCAAAAGAGTAAAAACGGTCATCATAACAGCTTCGACAGAGGAGTCTATAATCTTGATCAGGTGAAACTTCAAAATCCAATTTTAGAATATTCTTTATTTTTATTCAATAACTTTAGTAATATTATTCGAGTTTGCTTCATAATTCACCTTAATTTCAGAGTTTCCTGATCAAAATTGATCGTCCACCAATTGAAACTAAAACTAAAATTCGTCTGCTTTTTTGGCTAAGACATAGTTATAATGAATATCCACGTTGTGAATTTTAAAAAAATTATTAAATATTGACCTCATGCTTCCGCGTGCAAATTGGTCGATTCATCGCGTATTGCACGTCATATTTATTCCATAAGTGATTTATACGGAATCATAAATAAAAAAAAAAGTTCTTGTGTCACTTACAGAGATATAAAAAGTTTTCCTTCTTGATGAAATTTTTTTCATGATAAAAAAATTTTTCTCCATCAAAAATATAATTTTTAGTGTTCAAAAAATAATCTTTTTTCTAGATGAAAAATATTATTTCTAATGTTTGAAAGAAAGTTTTCTCTCTGGGCAAAAAATATTATTTTCAGTTTTCAAAAAATAAAAACAAAAATCAAAAAGAATGAACAATAAGTACTATCTTTTTATGAACTAAAAAGGTCGTTTTGATATACGAATAATAGTTCATATTTACATCAATGGTTCGATGCAAGTGAATCGTAAGTACCTATGTTCAGATCTAGTTCATCGCATATATTTGATAGGACTCGACGACTCGAAATCTATATTCGATGGGTTGGAATAACTCGGAATTGAGACATCTATCGGATAAAAATTCTTTTTTTCGATGAAATTCCGATCCATCGGAAATGACTATTCGAGTGGTTGAAAACTGCTAGTAAAAACAACCCATCGCCGAGCCCTCGACCCATCGGAAAATGGCACTTCCAGGGATCGATTTGAAATTTCGATGCCCAACGGAAGCCAAAATCGACGCGTCGAAATACCTATCGAATGATTGGTTGGGTATATCTATTTTTCTTTCTGTCATTGATAATTGAATAAATATTCATGAAGGACTACAGATACTGACAGATCATTTCTTATTTTACAGTAAATTATTACGGAAATGTTGACAGCTGATAAACGATACATTTCCTTACGGTAACTGTACTTTACTTTTCTTTTTATTGCGAATAATTTAATAATAAACAGCAAAGGAGATATTAGATTTGCCATTTCCTTTTCTATAAGAGAAAAAGAAAGAGAAGGAAAAGAATGTTTGTGAAAATAACGATTGTTTATGTTTCTATATTATAATTTTTTTCTTTTAGTTTGAGAGTGATTTTAGCAACTGTAATTGATTGAAACGAATTAAAAATTGCAGAATTATTGCAGAGAAATGAAGATTATCATACTGAGAGAAAGGTTTTTATTTGTTGTATCTATCGTATTAACAACATGTATGAATTCAACTAGTCATAATTTAACAATGAATTCTTTATCAAAACAACATAAGAGTAAGTCTTTTTTTTTTGTTTCTTAAAATTTACTCATTGAACAAGAATGAAACAAAGAAACTGAAATGGTTACGATTGTTGACAGTCTGTTTTTTTTTCTAAATCAATATAAGTTAATAATGATTATCTATCATATTAAAAGAAAGCGAATTTACTTCATCGAAACCTGTCAATACAATATCATCTCAAATTAGATCTTGCTCAAAGTGGATTCGTGCAGGTGAGACAATTGTAGGAAACGAATTAAATACACATCTCAATGATCTGGAAAGTATTGCAATTATTGGAATTGATACGTTGTATGTTGTTGATCGTTACAATGATAAAACTCGATTACAAATATTTCCAAATGGAAGTCTTGTTGGTCATACATTGTGGAATGAATTCGATCCTATCATTCTAATCGATGAAAATGCGACTATTTACACAGCTTCTTACAATGGAAATATTCAACGTTGGTTTAAAAATGCAAGACAAGGAGAGAAAATAAATTGTCAATGTAATCAATGCTCTCGTGTATGGTTCGATTTAGAAAATCAAGATTTTTATATTGTCGAACGTTTTCATTCTCGTGTTATTAAATGTAATATACACACGAATAGAACGATAATTGTAGCTGGAATAACAAATATTGATGGATCTTCGAATCAAACACTTTCTTATCCGTATAGTTTATATGTCAACAATGCGAAGGATATATACATTAGTGATGTGAACAATCATAGAATACAGAAATGGATACAAAATGCAACAAATGGCATTACGATTGCT